GGGACTGGATGTGGAACAGGTGTGGACCAATTATGGACCAGGTCCGGACCAATTAAGGACTGGGTGCGGACCAGGTGCGGACCAGTATGGACCAGGTGTGGCCCACCGTCTTCCTGTGAACATCATTCACCCTGATAAAGAAGGTATACATGCTATTTTTCCAGTTCAGTACAGCCATAATGAGGGTGGGAAGGATGGTAGCCTCACCCCCTTCCCTCAATTATGGCCCAGAAATTCTTTGTGTGTGACTTGGTCTCCCTAGGCCGCTAAACCCGTTGATGTGTGTATCTGATCACAATTACAGCCAGGATCTCCTACCGACTTTCAAAATTATGGTGCCATTATACGAGAACGAACCTGCATGTATCAGTGCTCCCCCCTACGGCCATGTACGTGCAGTCCAGTGTGTGTGTGTGTGTGCCTCGTTCCACACCACTACAAAACCCTTACTTTGTAAGGGCGCCCTTACGACGAAAATGTGATTAATTTTCCCTTACCCCGATTTTCGTTCCACAACCACTTACGAAAACCCTACACTTTGTCGCACTTACGTTTCAGGTGGCCCCGGTTGCGCCTAACGCGGCCGAGAAGAGAATGCGAGTGTCTGACCCGGTGTTGCGGCGGACGAAATCGTGTCCGCCACCTTTGGGCCCGTGGGAGACCCGGGCCAGCCATTTCTCCAAGGCCGGCGTGGCACTGTCGCGGGCACTCATCCACCATTACTCCAGCGCACGTGGCTTCGCGTGACTGCCGTGTGCCTTGTTTATGCAGCGGAGTCCAGCTATGGACAGCGGTGGGTGCGATGAGGCGGCGACGAGGAGATTGTCAACCACTGAGAAGAGCATGGTCGCTAGTGCTGTCCTTGCAGTGTGCCGGTACATGGAGACGGTAAACGGATTGCGGCGGGCGGCTGGGAGGACAAGCGGTTAATGGAAGGCCCAAAATTTGGAGTTTTTCGCGTCAGCACTACAAGCAATGTCGTGGGAAATTTTGCGAACAAACTATGCAGGCTCATAATACAAACATCAGAAAACGAAACAGGCAAAGAAAAACTAAAAAAAAAAACTCAAAAGGACTATAAAACCCTGTTCGGAGTAGCTTTCGGAGTTCGCCAAATTTTTTCCCGAATTTGGTGTTTTTGCCAACTTTTTCGTTACTCGTCCAAATACGCTGAAATTGAATACAAATATGCCCTCGAGCACAAAACCCTATTCGGAGTAGCTTTCGGAGTTCGCCTATTTTTTTCCCGAATTCGGTGTTTTTGCCAAGTTCTTCGTTACTCGTCCAAATAACCTGAAACTGAATACAGATATACCCTCAAGCACATACATATCAGCACAAAAAAAAACAAGAAAAAAGCAAAAAATCAGGGAAATATGGCAATTCATAGAATTAGCACAAAATGTGAGGCTTTACTCTCGCGGAGGACATAATGTGCCAACATAGAGGAAGAATTGGAATGCCCGACGGAGCATCCAGCATCGCCCTTCTGCCTCGTCCACTCAAGCGACCAACACATCTTCCCACTCCTTTAAGTAGCTACGCTCTCTCTATATTGCCGCGCTACGTCCTCCGAACTACGAAATCCTTGCCTCGCTCCGTCCGTTCATCCACACTCCCAATGATCACCGGAAAACGCATGTACTCCAAAGCGCTAAAATAATTCCAAATCTGAGAAAACTCGACCGTTCCATCAGAACCCGGTCGAATGTCGACTACGGTACCCGTATCTCAATCGTACCGAACAGTCCACTTGTCAGAGGAACTTCCTTTGTTTGTATCAAGCTCGTAATGTAGACCCGATCCATGCAAAAAAGTAAGGCTGAAACCCAAAATTGCACAAACATAGTGCAGTGTCCATAAACCGTATCCCGAAAAACTCGTGCCGGAGGTAACTCCTACCCATGTATGCGGAGCATTTTGTCAACCAGTTCCATCCAACATAAAGTTTGTAAGTAACGGCACCATACGCCCGTCGGTGATAAAAAATATATCTAAAAAAAACAGCTAGCTCCGAATCTAGTGTTGTTCTCCCTTTTACCTAGTGTAATCACCTTGTTGCGTTGAAACTGGTCCTGATGTTGTTCAAAATGCAAGTCTACAACCTACTTCCTCCTATGCATCAACTCATTCTACGACATCCAGTTAAGTACCTCAGCCGCCAATTTTCGACTTAGCTTGGTCCGTCTTAATGCCAATAAGGCCCTCTTGAGAACATGTGCAGGGTATTCCAGCAAGGCTGCTTCAATAAAAAATAATTTAATAATGCTCGTGATATCTTGCTGCATAGTCGTGTTAGTGATGATCCTGTGCAGTGTGCCAATTATGGTGAGTGCGTTTGTCTTCTTAGGACCGTAACTCTTGAAGTGCTTAATCGTATGAAGACGTCCACGAGACCCCTCCCGTAGTGAATCGACATTCTTCAAACGGTGTGAGCACTTCAAAAGGGGTATAATCTCCTGCCTGTATACGGTCATCTCTAGGTACTTCAATACAGTAGACTCTACATCAGCCGCGCATTCAAGTTTCAGTGACGGATGATAGCAGTCCTTGAATCCTTGGATCAGATTCCGTGCCACTAGTGGATTGTCGTTCTGCGTAATCACAGCTAGAAAAACGTCGTCCACGAACCTTAAACCGTGAATGAGTCTCTCGTCTGTACCAAGTGACCTCATCCACACATGCTCATCATAACTGCACACAAGATTCGCTATTGGCGGGCTGGACCC